CAGACTGTATTCCTAATAAGAGTAATTCTTTCCCATTCTGTTTTGTAGTTAATACAGATCCGAGCAATTTAGCTGGAACACACTGGATAGGATTATTTTGCAATTCAGCTAGTAGTATTGAATACTATGACTCTCTAGGTATTTGGCCGCCGATAAGTCATCATATTAGAAATTATTTAAATAAGTTTAACAAAGTCCAATTTAATTCTGTTATGTTACAACGACCATTTTCTAGTACTTGTGGCAATCATGTTATCTTATTTCTTTATATGCGCTGCTTAGGGTTTTCAATGAATAAAATCATTTCATTACTAAAAGGGATTAATGCTGATAAATTCGTATCTGAGTTCATTAATACTCAGATATTTAATATAAATAGATGACTTAAATATTAAATCTTACAATATAAAAAATGCATATTGATTTTGATCCTGCAAATATAAACTGGTCAACATTAACTGAAAACCCCAATCAATGGGGCGGCTATAATGTTTTTCGAGGCGTTCCTTACCAACGAGGTAATGGATTGGGATCAGTGTTTAGAAGTTTTCTTCGTTATTTAATCCCGATTGGTAAAGAAATTGGTAGCGCTATTGGAAGACAGGGTTTAGAATCCGGTAATCGAGTTTTAAGCAATGTCTTAGAGGGAAAAAATCTTAAAGAATCTCTTGTTACTGAAGGTAAATCAGGCTTGAAAAATTTACTGCAAAAAGCAGCTGAAAATGTTGATAAACAAAGTGGAAAAGGTTTTGATTTTAAACGATACAAAAATATAGAAAAGTCTCCTGCCATCGGGCAAATGAATGACGCAATACCAGATCTTAAACCAAAAACTATAAATAAACATCCATATTCTCGAATCGGTCCTCCAAATTTTCTTCCTACTTTCAAAAAGAAAAATTCTAAAAAATCTAATAAAAAATCCCGCCCCCAAAAACGATTACGAGTAGACACGTTAGGAACATACTAAAATGAGTTGCCCAAAACAAATTAATGAAAACAGCCCGTTGGCACTGAATAGTGCATTAAGTATTTTTTCTGTACCACCTACAAACATTTCTGTTGTCCGGTCCTTTTTTAGAGAAATTCTTCCTCTTAGTACAATAACACAAGATTCGCCGTATTTGTTTCGATTGTTCAGTGATAATCTTTGGACTGACTTGTCTCGAACATATCTTTACCTTGAATTATCAATTGAAAAGTTGGGAACCAATGGTAAATGGGTTGATATTGAAGCAACAGATAATAATATTGGATCGATTCAAGGTATTGGTCAAACATTTGTTCAGCAGTTGAAGGTGACTGTTGGTAATACTGAAGTTTACGATAGTGGTACTCTTTATCCTTACAAAGCATATATTACTAATGAGTTGTCATTTCCTGACAACGTTAAATCGCATTTTCTTGCATCTATTGGATATTATAGAAGCGAAAAGCATGATGATCCTGCAGATGATGGTTTCAAAAATCGTTGCTCTATTTTTGCAAACGGTAAACGCTCCCAATTCCTTTCGCGCCTAGATTTTGATTTGGGAAATCAAGAATTATTTCTCCTTAATAATTTAGATATTCACTTTAGCATTTACAAAAGTAAGGATGCTTTTATATTACAAAATATCAAAGAAGGCGATAATAATCAATATAGACTTTATGTTCACGACGTTAAATTATTTTCAAAGATGGTTGAAGTGCAACCATCACTTAATATGAACATTTATAAGACACTTGAATCTAAGCCTGCTACGTATGCTGTTCGCCGAACTGAAATGAAATCTACGTATCTTACTTCAGGGCGAACTGAAATTGAGTATAATGCCTTCAGCTCAGCTATACCGCGACGCATTACAGTCGCCTTAGTTTCAAATAAGGCCTTTAATGGTGACATTGCTCTTTCACCATTCAATTTCAAACCTTTTGATATTAGGGATATCTCTGTTCATACTGGCGGGCATATTTATCCTATGGTCGCTTACAAGCTAAAGTTTGCCCAAGACTTATTTGTTAGAGCTTTTGTTGACATGTATGAAGCTCTTGGAATGGCTAACTCAGATCGTTCCATTGATATTTCAATGCCACAATTTAAAGATGGATGGACCTTCTTTGTAATACCTTTGACATCGACACTTGATGACTCTTGTGGTTTTGAGCTTCTCAAAAGTGGAACTACTAGTGTTCGTTTAGAATTTAATACTCCTATCCCTGCGGGAGGTGTTGAAATGATTATTTTAGGCGAATTCGATCAAATGATTATGATTGATTACAATCGACATATAGTTACGGATTCAAACCTAGGTTAAAAATTGTATAAATAATGATAATTTAAAATATATTGATTTTACAAATGCGCAACATTTCCACCACTACCCAGAATATAACATTTGAATTTTTAAAAATTGCTAGCACAAATTTACAAGATAATGCTTTGGATCCCACTGTAGCTTATGGGATACCTTTATTACTACTACTTCATTTCATTATTCTCCCAATGATTTTAATATGTTGGATCTTACTCCTTCGAGTTCTTCGTAAATTAGGATTCATAACTTCTGCTGAAGAATCCAATATTGCAAAAAATATTAGCGAAATACCTTTAGAGAGCTTGTGTCGAACTAAAACACATTTTTCATTCCCAATTGAGCGGGTTGCATAGCGAATTAAAAATAATGCACTGAATTGGCTCTCGAAAATGGTAGTGAAAATTATTGTTACCTTTTGAGTGCGGTCAGTTTGAGAGCCAAAAAGTAGCCGTTTCAGTGTGGCCGTTTCGAAGTAGCCGTCACGCTACACACAATAGGCTTAGGTTGAGAGCCACAAGTTTTTAAAAATAAATTATCGATTGATTGACCGCCGGCCCGACTCGACTCGGCCCCCGCTTCAGGTTTCGTTTGATACATTTTAAAGCACCCAGAAGCGCCTTCCGATGAACTTTACTTATTCCACGAACTACTCCATTCAAACCCCGCAACGCCCAAAAGGATTGGGTTTGCAAATTATTGATTGATTAGAACAAGAGGGCCTGAAGAGACCGATTATATGGGCAGAGAAAAATTTTTTTCTCTGACTTCTCTCGCCCAATAATCGGTCTCTTCAGAGCCCTCTTGTTCTAATCAATCAATAATTTAATAGGGGTAATATTGTAGTTACACGGCATAAAATATCAAATCGATCGACAATTTTTTGACCTTTGTGGAAAAAATTCCGGGAAATCTCGGGCCAGTAGGGATTAGTAGTAAATGTAAACATGAAAGATGCAAGTCCAGGCCTGCGAGTACGAGCCATAATAGTAGTTGCATCGTAAAACATATCTTGAAAGTATGGACGGGTTCCGGGATGATATTTGCGAAATAATACAACGCTGCCTATTTTACTGTTTGGTTGTAGATCACCATCCCTTCTCATGTGGTCGAGAACATCAGGTGCTGTGGTTTTAAGGAGATTAAATTCGGGTTGGCGCAAATAGTCGGCCACTTGAGCATCAATACGTGCTGCGTAATCTAATACAAATTTCTGGCTTAAGCCACCTCCTGCACTCCAAATATTATGGGGCGAATCAGTTCGACGAATTGCAAGTCGGTAACGAATATATTTTCTATAAGAAATTGTTTTCTTAGGTTCTATATCAATTTCCAATTCATCATCGGTTTTTTCATTAGTTAAGTCTTCATCATCATTTATAGTATTATTAGATTTATTTGCATACTTAGGACTATTAGGGTTAAATGGAATCTTAGTATGGTATCCATCATCTCCGTGTGGAAAAAGCAGGGGATAAGTAAGTGAATCAACCCGAGCATTATATGGTTTGACCTCAAATAAACATCCTTGAAGATCAGTTATATATGTTCCTTTAATTTTTGGTGGCTCGGAGGACTCCGTCCAAACTGAAAACATGGCTTTTTCTTGAGGTAGATTAACCTGTCGTGGATGTAATCCTTTACCTCTAATTATGGCAGGAGCAGCTCTTTCTTCTATGATAGTAAGGCGAAAGTTCCTTACAGCATCTTTCCCATCCTTTTCAAGAACGGACATATATTGGGAATGAAAATTTTTATATACTCTTGCAAATGGGTTTATATTTCTCAAAACAGAATCTAAAATTTTTAATGTTTGCGGATTAACTCTATCTCCTCCACAGAGAGTATTTTGGGTTCGTAAATTAAGTGCTTCATTCGCATCTAAGATATATAATTGTGAAAACGATGGTGTTAAATGTCCAGAATTCATTGAACTTATATGTCGGGAAAATTCGCCGTTTAGATTAAAGCACACACTTCCGTAATGAGATGAGTCCTTATGACCAACGGACACTGAAGCGAAAGCTAACAATGTGTTATAAGTATTGTGGTTTGAAAGAAACTCTTTAGATTCTTTAGTATCGCCTTTTAATAAAACCTTCAATTCATTAGGATGTTCAGTATAGGGAGGAAGAGTAACTGTTCCGCAGCTACAACAAAGTGAAGATGTGATAACTTTAAACTTAGATTTATGACTTTGATTAATTTCAGATTCTAATAAAAGTGCTTTACAATAATGACATTCAAATTTGCCGATGTCTCCAGAGTCATAATACTCTGCTGTATGGCGAGCTCTAGTATCTGCACAAGGAAACCCCTCATGCGTACTGAGGCATTTATTATTATTATTAATAATAGGGTTTGGTTTAGAAGAAAGTTTAGGTTGTACAATGGGGACTTGGGTAATGGACAATTTACGGTTTTTAATGCGTTCAGATTGACGAACAGGGATAGATTGACGAACAGGCATATCTGGAGGATCAGGGGCTAAAAATATAATCGGTTCATCATTAACAATTACACATTCGTCAGGAACAGAGTCACAAATAGATAATTTTCTTGGTCTTCCGGCACCTTTACGAATTATTTTTCTTGGACGACCCCTACCCCTTTTAGTAGAACTACAGATTGGCTTGAACATCATTAAATAATTCAAGGTTAATTTATTAATATTTTACAAATAATTATCTTTTTTAATTTTAGTAGCTGTGTGGAATGGTTAGAGAACAAGGATTTACTTGTGGGATAGAACGTCTTGTAATTAAATTATAAAAAAGTATTTTTTTAAATTGTTTTTAGATGAAATTGCCTCTGGGCTTTTAGGTTGTAATATGTGGGGAAAAATTACGGGGAAGATAATTGGTAATTATTAGAGAGCTACTATGTGTTTTTGTAAATAAAAACATTTAAAATAATTTATTCAGAACCTCGATCAGAATTTTGCCAAAAACGTCCATTTTGTTCTTCTCTCGATTATTTCCCTGTCTGTCCATCAACTCGTGTTAATTCAAGTGAAGAAAATTTAAAAATATTTTGGAGAAAATTAAATCCCCAAATTTGTATTGATAATGGAATTTTAAATACTTTACCTAATAAAAAAGAAAAATGTTTGCCTTGTGGGCCTGAAATGGAAAGAAATAATTCTGGTTATTGTGAAAATTGTCCTAAAGGATCTATTTCTTCTGGAGAAGGTAAATGTGTTCCTTGTCCTTCTGGATTAATTCCAAATTATGGAATATTTTTAACAAATTGGGATTCCCTTCCTTCAGAAATTGAATGTAAAAAAAGAATGTGATTTTCTTTCAGCAGGTATTTAAAAAAAGATTTTTGAAAATTAAAAATTTTCTTTTAAAAGAACTTCCAAATGAATGTCCAGTTAATCCTTCTTGGATATCTTATGGAAATAGATTGGAAAGTGCTACGACTAGAATGAAGGGTGTTGCTTTGGAAATTAATAGTAAATTTAAATAAATTTAAAATTAAAATATTTCCTTTTTAGTTAAATTTAAAGATGGATTTTCTTCCCCTTTACATACAGGAAAAATAACTAATGAAAATCCTTTGGGTAAAATATCAATAGAAGTTTCTCTTCAATGTAAAGGAAAATGTCAATTTTATATTGTTCAGGTGTTAATTATTTTAAATTAAAATTGTCTATAGGGTTCTCACTTTCCAAAAATTAAATATTATTTTTTAAATTTTCTAAGAAAATAGAAAAAGAAAATTCCCAACAATTTATTTTTCCTGAAAAAGAAGAAAATCTTCAATTATTAAAAATGTTAACTGGAAGTTTTACAAATAATTTACTTGTATTACCAATTTTAAATTCTTTTCCAATTCATTTATTAATTGCTTTTACGAGAACTAATGCAATTTGGAAGTGCTGCTTTTGAAGAGAATGTTCTTTGCAGGTTTATTTATTTTTGACTCTTAGGAAATCTTTTTAAATTTACAGTTGGACCTCGTTTTATGTCTACAAATCAATCTAAAATAATTGAGAGAGGTTCTGAAACAACGTTTAAATGTGAGGTAAATAAAAAGTCAAAACATCTAATATGATTATCCTTTATACCTCTTTTCCTAATAGTATTTCTGTTAAATTAAGTCCCTATAATGCATATTATATTAGGGTAAACCTCACGTGCATTCGGGGGGTTAGAGTGTTGGGCTTCGGCGTTTACCGTGGTAGAGCCTTCTGGGTTCGGGTCAAAGTTGTTTAAAATTATAATATATATATTTTTCTAGGTTCTCGGCAATCAACCGCCTATTATTCGTTGGTATCATGGAAAGGAATAAGAGAAACCAATTCAAAAAGGAGCAAAGTGTGTAAAACTAGAAAATTTAATAACTGAAATTTCTTGCTTTAGTTTAACTATCAAAAATGCGCAAGATTTGGAGGAAGGAGAATTAAGGTAGCTTTTTGGAGTTTACAATCCAAATAAAATATTTTTAATTTTAGTGTATTGCCGAGGAAGATTTTCCTTCAAAAACGTTGCAGCATCAATTATATTTAAATGGAACTCCAAAAGTCAGATTTACAGAATATATACTTTTTGAAAATGAAAAGGCTATTACTTTAATCTGTGAGGTAAACAATGAATTTTTTAAAGTTTGTATTTTTGACTGGGATAATTATTTAATTCAACAGTTTTTTTAAATGTTTTTTAAGAAACTATAAGAGGAAATATGTAGAATTTTTTTGAGAATCCCATGTCTACTCTGATTTTATTTAAATTTTATTTTTTTCTCAGCGTGGAGGAAACTTATTACTGCTTAATCTGGAACTAAAGAAGGGATTGTTGATGAAAATGCTTCTGCTCCTTTAATTTCGGTAAAATTAAAAATAAATTAAATTTATGAATTTTAATAAAAAATTCAGAATGTAATTTTAAAAATTTTTTTAAAGAATTTTTAGATAATAATGTTCAGTTTCTCTTTTGAAAGATCATTAAATTGATAGTAAAGCTAAATATGTCCCCGACAAATTTTAGTTATATAAATTCCTAAACCTTTTGTCTTAAAAATACATCAGAATAAAAGGCTTAGGAATTTATATAAATAAAATTTGTCTGGGACATATTTAGCTTTACTATCAATTTAATGATCTTTCAAAAGAGAAACTGAACATTACCATTTAAAACTAAGCTCATAAATTACATAGTCATTGCCTTTTTTACTTATTATAAAAATTATTCTAAACTTTAAATTTTTATATAAATTAACGTGCTTTTAGTTATAAATTTTAAACTACTTTAATATTTTTATAAATTTTGTAATTTAGTAAATCAAATAAAAATTTTTCTAAACTTTTAAATTTTTATATAAGTTAATTTTCTTTTAAATTATAAATTTTAAAGTAATTTAATAATTTATTTAAATTTAGTAAATCTTAAAAAAATGTCTACAACTAATAATGATAAAAAGAGAAAAACTACAACTTCATCCTCCGCTCCGAAAAGACAAAATTTAATGCAACAGTCACCAATCCCATACACACCTTATAGAGAACCAAGACCAGCTAATCAACAACTTATTTCTCAAAATACATTGCCAATGCCACAACCAATTACACCAAATTCAACCCAAGTAATTAATGCAGGAAATATACAGACTACTCCAAATATACAACAACAACAACAAGACCAACCAAGTGTCACAGAAGAACAGGCTTTGCTTAAAGAAGTAAGTCATTACAAGAAAAAATTTCTGATGCATTATTTTTAAAAATTATAATCGGATCAACCGTTTATAAAAATAATAATAATTAGGAAAATATTATTTAAAAATTTTTTTAATGTTAGATAGCTGAGAAAAGAAAGGCAAGAGCTACAAAGACCAAACCAGAGAATATTCATCTGATCAAACCGTTTGATGAAATATCCAAATGTACAAATGCGGATCTATTATTTTTGAATTGGTCAAAGGACCATATTTTTGAGTAATAATTTTTATAAGAAAAAAATATTCTATTTTAATTTTAAGAGAACTGGTTGGTATTGTGTGTTATGTTAAAAGAGGCTTAACGAGCAAGAATAAGTGGGACCGTACCGACATTTTAATCCAGGTTGGAAAACCCGATGAGCGTGAGAAAGTGGCTGTTTTTGGATGGGGAGCACAAGCAGCGGTACTCGAAGGAGCTGAATTAAATAAAGTAATTTAAAAAAATTTTTTAATATTTTAAAAAATTTCTAAAATAATCATAATAAATAATTTTTATTTTAGTTCATTCGATTGACCAACATGATAGTTGTTCCTGAAGACATCGGAAAAAGAGACACATGGAATGGATCGATAGAATTTAAATTAAAATTTACAAGAAGCTCAACTTTAACAATTGTCGAACAAGGGCAAAGTGCGGTGTCTGAGCAGAATACAAATATGATAGGTAGTTTAAAATTTTAAGTTTTTTGGGAAAAAAATATGAGTGAAATTTTATAGTAATCGAGAATTTTATTTAAGTAATCGAAAATTTTATTTAAATTTTAATTTCAAAAAAATTGTATTTAAATTTTTATTTAAAAAAATATTATTTAGAGGAAGGTCCTTCAACATCTGCAACAATTCAAAATCCGCATGTTGGTAATGTTCAGAACTATTCTTATGCCAGCAATGCAACTTCTGCTGTAGAAAGAGATGTTGAATATGTGAGTATTTATAAATCATAAGGTTTAATGTTTTACATGTACCGTTTGATTAAAACTTTATTTAAAAAATACTACATTAAAAGTGAATTGTTATTAATTTAAAATTTAATAAAAACTTTTATTACATTTTCAAGGATTTTGAAGATTTATGATTTGCTTATTTACTAAAAAGAAGAAAAGAACAAGTTAAAATTGAATTTATTTAGAAATTAAAATAAAATTGAGTGAAACTTATTAAAAATTTTTCATTAATCTTTAACTTTCGATTAATTTGCTTTTATGTTTGCAAAAATAAAAATTTTACGCATGTTTATTATTTGAACTGAAATAGAAATTTGAAAAAAAAAATTTTTAAAAATTTAAAAAATTGTCTTGAGAAAATTTTTTTTTGAAATTGTCTATTAAGTAAAATGAAATAGAGATTTGAAAAAAGTTAAAAAATTTTGAAAATTGTTTGAAAAAATTTTTTTTAATTTTTGAAAAAATTTGAATTTGTTTATTAATTAAAATGATATAGAGATGTGAAAAAATCTTAAAAAATTTGAAACTTGCTTGAAAAAATTTTTTTGAATTTGGTTATTAACTAAATGAAATAGAGAGTGGAAAAAAATTAAAAAAAAATTTTTTAAAAATTTTGTTAATGATTTGAAAAAATTTTTAAAACTGAAAAAAATTTTTGAAAAAAATTTTTTTAAAATAATTTTTAAAAATGATTTGAAAAAAAATTTTTAATTGTTCATTATTTAAAATGAAATTGAAAAAAAAGGATTTGAAAAAAAATCTAAAAAAATGATATTGTTTATTATTAAAAATGAATCAAAATTTGAAAAAAAAAGCTTTAAAATATTTAAAAATTTTTATAGTATTTTGATAAAATAAAACTTAATTTTGAATTAAATATATCATTATAAAAATATCTATTTTCATTCTTGTCTAAAATAAAAATTTTATATTTTATGAAATGGAATTTGATTATTCTTGTTAGTTTTTTAAAAAATAAAATTTTAATGCTGAACGTGTATTATTTAAAATAAAATAGAAATTTGAAGAAGGAAAAAAAATCTAAAAAAATTTTGAACATTGATTAGAAAAATTTTTTAAAAATTTTGAAAAAAAAATAATTTGAAATGTTATCATTAAAGATGGAAAAGAAATTTAAAAAAAAAAAGCTTAAAAATTTTTTTATTAGTTCTATCAGTATTTCGATAAAATAAAACTGAATTTTGAATTAAATAATCATAATAAAAAATATTGGATTGCATTCTTATCCAGAATAAAATATTTTTATTTTATGAAATTGAATTTAAAATGCATGATTCAAATATTCTTTTTTTTGGTTTTTGATAAATAAATCTGACTGTGGGACTGGGCCGTTTTGGCGCGGGGCCGTTTTGGCGCGAGCTTATAAGATACCGAGTTGTTTATCAAAAATGATAAAATTTCGCAATAATAACTCTCGTGCCTTTATCTAAGTTCTCCAAATATTTCAGAATTTTTGATCGAGAATTTCAGAAATTGTGGCCAAAAATGTTGATTTTCTGCAAAATGCCTAATTTTTCGAGGTCTATCGACTATAACTTCGGAAATATTGGATGAAAAATTCTGAAATTTCTGGATGAAGTAGTCAAGGATGTTAAAGAAATTTGAGAAAAATTTTATAAATTTAGGTCTTGCCTAAGTGCCACTTTTTTGTTATCGCGCCAAAACGGCCCGGCGCCAAAACGACCCCAACATCTGACTGTATAAATATTATTAATTTAAATAAATTTTTGAATAATTGGCATGAAATTGAATTTAAAAAATTGAATTTGCATTTATATGAACAAATATTCTAGTATCTTGTTTAAATTTTGTTTTTGTTTAAAATTGAATAAGCTTACTGATAACGAATTATTACAAATACAATAATATTATTGTTTTCGCAATAATTTTTTTAATGAAATTTTTTTAAATGATATATCAATAAATTAGAATAAAAATTCGAATTTAATCAAAAGAAATCAAACGGTACATGATATTTCAAAATTTAGGGGGATTTAAATTAATTATTAGTATTTACTCTTTTAATTACTCTGATAGGGATACGTGAAAAACGTTAGATATTTTTACCTACTCTCTAAAATAAATACTCACTGGCTTTTTTTTTTTTTTAAAAAAAAAAAAAGCTAGGGGGGCCTTTTTTTTGTAGGAAGTAGTGTCACCTTCTCCTGAATTGTCACAACAGTCGCTCCATGCCGAATCAAATCCACAAGTAAATTTTATTCTTTTTTTACTATTTTTAACAAAAAATATAATAGCGATTATATGGTAATCCTGGACATACTCCCCCAGCTCCAGGATTTGTAAGTTATGTAGTACCATCAGAAGATCCTGATGCAATTTATTTTCGCGGAGAACGCCACATTCATGATATTGATTTACCAAAAAAAAGGACTCGATGGAAGAGTGCGAAATATACTATTATCCTCTCGTGTGCAACTGGCAGAAACATATAAATCTAAAGAAGAGGATCCTCTTTGCGGAGTATGTGTACGTGACTTTATGCCGAAACAAAGCGTAATTTTTTTACCATGTTCCCATAAATTGCACAAAACGTGTTTTTGGGATTTATCCCGTTTTTATAGACATTGTCCTACTTGTAAATACGATATGGGTCGGGGCCTGCAAATTCCAGAGTAGGGTATAACTGATTTCTAGTCAATTAAATTATAAAATGGGAGTAGAACATTAAAAATTAGAAAGTTCTCATTTTGCAACTTAATTGACTAAAAATCTTTTGTGCTCTACTCTGGAATTTGGAGGCTATACACGTCGGATTACTTGTTTTTGAAAATTTAATATTTTGGACACGTACTAGACAAGTATCCCGACGTGTAACAGTTTCCCCGCACGTCAAAGAATCAAGTTTTTTTTCTGAGTGGATTCTTTGACGTGCGGGGAAATTTTTTTGTATTTTTTATATAATTAATAATAATAACCACACCACAATTAAAAAAATATATAATGAGTATTTTTTATATAATTAATAATAATAGCAACACCACAATTTGTAAAAAAAATTAATGAGTATTTTTTTATAAAAAAAAAATGACCAAATTTTTAAAACTTTATATAAATTGAGTTGAATATAACATTAATCAAAAAATAGAATTAGGTCATTTTTTAATTTAAAATTTAATTTTTAATTACCACTTAAAATTTGGTATTGATATTATGTGTACATAAATCTAAATCTATCATTTTAATTTTAAAATCTATTTTATTAAGCAATTTTTTTCCTGCCTTTTTTAAATTATTTTTTAAAATAATCTTTATTAAAATTATTTATTAATGGCAATATATTTGTTTGACAATGAAAGTATTTTGTTTGTCAAGTGCTATATATTTTGAGTCTGGCACTGAGCTTAATTTTTGTTTGTTTCACTTATATGCTTGATTGCTTCTGCTTCTTTATAATTTTGTAAACTAATCTTTATTATTCTGAAGCATTTTTGCTTCTAATTTCTGAAATAATTTTTATTATTCTGAAGAAATCAGAAATTACACCGAGACTCAAAATAAATAGTACTTGAAAAAATAATTTCCGTGCCAAACAAATTTATTTTCTTTATTAATTATGCCTTTATTAAGCTTATATTCTATTTTGCCTTTGTAAATTTTTTTGAATATATTTAACATCAACATATCTCTAATTATTTTTTTAGGTATTTTTTTTTGAATTAGAGATATGTTTTATAATATTTTCAATAATTATATAATTTTCAATTTATTATGAATAAATTTTTTTTATTATTCCTTCATTAATTTTTTTTAAGTTGAGTTTATTAGGTTTGTAGGTTTATTCTGTATGGTTGTTGTTTTCGTCTGCATCTTTTAAATTCCAATCTTGTTTTAGTGTATATATGGTGTAATATCTATACTAACATGTATAGAATATTATTGACTGTTTTAGTGAATGATATTAATTTTTGGTTCCTACCTAAGATCTCGTTTATAATTTCCCTGCTAATAGCTGTACGCGGCTTACTAAAATTAAATTTGTTCATTATAGTAAACTATATTTATTTAAATTTAGATTGAAAACATGAGAAACTACTTTGTTATTGAAAGAATTGAGCCAATTGCCTCACGATCACGCAACACGCGCGGGGAGATTGCCCATATTAGATTTAACAACTTAGCCGATCACCCGCGACCAGATTTGGCTCTCACAAGCCTAATTGAACAACTTTTGGATCGGGTGCTCACCGGAAGACCAGCACCACTTCGTGTTGGTCTTCAGGTGCAGCCACCGAATTTCCATCACCCGTTTACGGTACCTCTTCGCCCACCTGCCCAAAATAATCCTGCCGCATTGGCCGCAGCAATTGAACGACTGAACGAAATCTCTGCCGCTGGCATAGATTTGTTAAGTGGGACAACAACAACAAAATTCATCGCTGTTTGGCCTTTGACTGGACAACGTACAAACAATCCAGCAACTCAATCTGGTAGGTTCATACTAGTCTTACATTTCTTGTATAAATGTAAGGCAGTCATGTTCCTACAGGTAGTTGTGATTTGGAACAAGAACATGTTGTTACCTCCCGCTGTCGATCAATTGTGCGAGTCCACAATCCAAACGACCGCTACTGTCTTGCACGTGCAGTAGTGATTGGACTTACAAAAATTCGACTTGTTGATCAAGGCGATGCTAATAATGGACCAGCTCATTTTAGAGCTTTTTGTCAACAACAAGAACAACATATGATTTTTGTAAATTACTTAATGAATATATCTGGACTTCCTTATGGATTACAGGTATTATTTAATTACATTTTTTTCAGTGTTACTTTATATAGGAATATTCGCTTGAACATGTAGCGATTCTCCAACGATGGTTGAATCAATATTATGGAGAAGGGCACACCCGTATTGTAGTTTTCCATAAAGAGCAACAATACCGGATTGTGTTTAAAGGAGAGGGAAGAGCAGCTCGTTACAATTTATGTCTGCTCTTGGAGAATCGCCATTACAACTACATTGGTCGCCCTGAACAACTTTTGGGAGTCAAACGTTATTGTATTGACTGTGAACGTTCGGTGACACGTTGGAGTCATTGGGCTGGATGCAATGTAGTTTGTAGATTTTGCATGAGGTCAGGTCCCGAATTCCCATGCCAAGTAATATCTAAATTAATTTAAAATTTTCATTGTTATTTTATAGGAAGATGAAAGAATCCCGTGTCAAAACTGCGGATTCATTTTTCCACGCCGATCATGTTATGACTACCATTTAGTCAATTCTGCTCCACTAGAAATGATTCGACGCGATACACGTAATTTTGCATCCATTTGCCAAATGCGTCGTATTTGCTCCAATTGCCATCTCATAATCTATGCTCAGCAAACACACGAATGTCATCAACAACGACAACCTCAGGAAAATTGTACAAAATGTAATGGTCCTCATTCTGAGGACCAGCCATGCTATATTCAACCATTGTCTGTTGAAGCAGAGGAAGAAGAAATTATTGAACCTGTATTAAATGAAAATCAACAACAACAACAACAAGCAAAGAGACAACGAAAACAACCATTACGTCTATGTTTTTTCGATGCTGAGACCAGCCAGGATGAGCCAGTCCAGATTAGTAATAATATTAATGGATATAGACATGTTCCACTTTTAATTATTGCCGAGGTAAATTTTTTTAGTCAATGTATTATATTTAGTAAATTTACATTTAGGTTATTTGCGAAAAATGTATCCTGGCAGGAATTAGTATTGAAAATATTGGACAACGTGCTCCAGGATGCTTCTGTGGAAAACCAAGAGGCCAACGTTGGTTAAATTGGTGTTCCCCACCATTCAGAAATGCTCCAGGCGACACCACCGCCCGTCCTGACAACATAATTTTTAATCCTAGGCGAATGTTTTTTCATTCGTTTGACAACGCAGAAGAGAACCCTGTTGACCAATTTCTCGACTATCTACTTAATCATGGTTCACAGAATATGCTGACAATCTGCATTGCTCACAATGGGGGAAAGTATGACTTTCATCTGTTGTTAGAGGCTCTTCATCGGCGTAATCAACCGCCAACGAGGTTATGTACAACGGGGTTAAAGATCTACTCAATGACTCTTGGCGGAAATCATCAGAGAAAAGTTCAATTCAAGGATTCGCTAAATTATTTCTTTTGTGAACTTGATGCTCTTACCAAGGTTTTTTTTTTTATTTATTCGTAAATGTTTTATTTTTTTTTCATTTAAAGATTTTTGCTCTACCAGAGGATGTGGCAACAACAAAGCCATTTTTTCCTTATCTCTTTATACAACGTCAACATTTACATGAAAGAATAATTGGGCTCCCTCCTCTTGAATATTACCAGGCTGAATATAAAAAGGCTGACAAGCGTGATAAACTCCTCGATTGGTACAATCAAACAATAGCTGATACCACAACCAACTTTCAGCTTCGTGAACAGTTAATTCTTTATTGTACAAATGATGTAGCGATTCTTCGTGAAAGTGTACTCCGATTCCGCCATCTTATAGGACAACACACGAAGAATCTTGACCCGTTTTTGTCAGTCTCAACAACAGCAGGTCTGGCCTTAACAACATTACGCCGCTGCTTTTTGCCTAAGAATTGGATTGTTCACTCGCCCGAAGGAGGTTATTTGAGAGGACGACGAGCTTCAGCCGAATCGCAGCGATACATCCGCTTTTTTGAACTACAACACCCGGAATCTGCAGGTCAAATTCAGCACGCACAATGGGCACTTGGAGAAGCTCATGTTGAAGACTGCGGGTATAGACTTGATGGCTTATGGCAAAGATCGCCTCCCCTTCGCCCTTTGGCTATTGAATATATGGGATGTTACTATCACGGTATAAAGTTTTTATTAAACTTTTTAATTTTATAAAATTTTAAGGTTGTCCCAAATGCTTCCCTGTACGCGACCAACGCTTAGCAGCTGGTCGTACAGCTGAAGAGCTTTTTGAAAGAACTCAGCAACGCCTATGGGAATTGGAGCATCAACATGGATACCAACTTCATGTTGTCTGGGGGCATGAGATTAAAGAAAAGCTGAGTAACAACACACAGTTACGAAGGAAATGGTTCGAAATTGACTGTGTTCGGCCTATGGATCCCAGAGAGGACTGCCTTAGAGGAGGAAGGACAGAACCCTTCAAACTTCATCACATGTGTGCTGAAGATGAAGAGATCCTCTACATCGATATTGTATACTTGAATCTAAACTTTAAAGAAACTATAAAAAAATTTTTAAGGTAAGTCTCTACCCTTATGTTATGAAGGCAAGATCTTTTCCTATTGGACATCCAAATGTCTTGACACGTGATACATTGCTTCTTCCTCCAAACAACCCTTTGCCATGGACATCTCCAGAGCATAACATCTATAAGGGGTTGCTTCTTGTTCGTGTTCAACCTCCGAACTTTATGAATGGAAATCTCCCACCAGTACTTCCATACAGAACTCATGATGGTCGACTCACGTTCCCCCTTTGTGCAAAATGTGCTGATAATAGACAACAACGACCCTGCACTCATGGAGAACGTGAACGTTCCTGGCTGACTGGTTATACCCATGTGGAGCTCAATTATGCTTTGGAACGTGGGTATAAAGTCGTGGACATTTATGAGGTAACAATATAATAATCATAACTATAACTTAATTTGATATTTAGGTTTGGAATTATGAAAAATGGGATCCGAATTTATTTCGATCCTATGTCAACACATTCATAGGCTTAAAACAACAAGCTAGTGGTTGGCCAGATGGTTGTGCCTCGGAGTTGGACCGAGCTGACTACCTAGCTGAATTCGAGCGAGTTGAAGGGATCTTCCTCGACCCGGAGAAGATTGAAACAAATCCTGGTTTGCGAATGATTGCGGTGATTTAACTTAGAAAAAAAAAATAAAAATAAATTAAATTTTTAGAAATTATTAGCAAACTCGCTCTGGGGAAAATTGGCGCAACGTGTTTGTGGAACTGAGGTGCGATATGCCAAAACACCAGCAGAGTTCCATCAATTGTTAGAAGATCCAACAATTGAAATGCTCGACTTTGATCACGTCAGTGAGCATTTGGACCGTTGTGTTGTAAGGAAGAAGCCGGAATTTTCAAAAGCACCAAATACCAACTGCCTCCCAGTAGCAGCATTCGTCACTTCATATGCTCGTCTCCATCTATATGAGTATATTGAACAAGTACATCAAATTGGCGGCGTTCTCCTGTACTGCGATACTGACTCCATCATCTATGTCGGCAAGCGTAATGGCCAGCGTGTACTCGAAGGCGAATATCTTGGTCAAATGAAGCGTGAAGTTCCAACACGCCGAATTCTGGAATTTATTGCTGGGGGTCCGAAAAATTATGGCTACCGACATGTCGACACAAGTACAGGCTTGGATGAGAGAGCAGAGCTTAAGATCCGCTCATTCCCGCTCTCTTATGCTACTCATCAACTCCTTAATTTCAACACTATGAAACAACTTGTGTTGAACCAATTCAATGTTGATGGGGCAGTGTGAGTTTATCAACCAATTTATAAAAAATAATAAAAATATATATTCAGTGATGACACGATTGCCGATGATGTCTTTTACGTTGGTAATTCAATTGGTGTACAATTCCCTCAAATTGGAAGAACTCGTCGGTCTCAGCTTTACACTCATCTGGCCAGGAAGGAATACAGGCCTTGTTATGAGAAAGGCCGAATTATGCCTGGAATGGAAACTCTTCCTTTTGGGCACAGGAGGAATAATTCGGTAATTTAAATTGTTTAAACTTTTTGATTGATTTTTTATTTACAGACATCTCACGGGCAAATACATCAGCAACGACTAACTAGATCACCAATCCCACCACAACAAAAAAGACCTCGCTTAAATATGAATGAATTAAATTTGCAAGATTTACCTGGATCTTCATCGTGGACAGAAGCTGATTATAGAAATAGATACAATTCTTAATATTTTTATTAAAATTTATTCTGTATATATTTTTTTAAATAAAAAAATTATGTTCGTGGAAATTGTTTAATTTTAGGTAAAATATCATTGTTAAAAACATGTTTCATTTCATGAATAGACTTTATTCCTGTTAGTATCACACGTCCTGAGATGTAACATAGGCACGATACTTCTCCATCTCGTTCTTCCATACCTATTTTGAAACGTAGCGCAGGAAAAATTGTTGGGTCGTAATTGGCTTTCATATTTTGATGTCGAAGTTGTTTAAATAATTTTTCAATTGCTAGTTTATGTTCGTGTCTGTAGGCCCCAACAATATTCGTGACAAAAAGATTATAAATTCCAATTTTCTGAAAATTTCCTGCCGCATTATTGGAAGCTCTAATACTTTTCACAACTCTCCATGCCGTTTCATTTGCTAATTCTGGAGTAGGCACGCCTGTTAAGACGACTTTTCCTGATTGAAATATTAGTGCCGCCGTTGTTTTATTGCCTTTGTGTCTTAGTCGCATAATTATCGAATGGAATCTTTTTGGATTATATTCAGTGTTAATTCCAAATCTTGCAAGCTTTAAATAATTTTCTGAAGAAAATTTAACGTTGTTCTTAAAGAGTTTAAATACAACTGTACAATTATAGATTTGCATAATATTTACTTGCTAAAAATAAAGACAATTTAATTTGAATTAAAAAAATTAAAAAAAAAACAATTTATATTTAGTTCTCAATTTAAAAAATTTTTTATTTATCTAATAACATCCTCCTTTCATCTTGTTTCGGCTTACACAAAGGACTTCAAGAGGGTAAAATGATCGATGATGTCCTCCACCAAACTCGATAATACAAGGTAGATACGGATGACAAAGTTTGAAATTATGCTTTACATAATAATATCCGCGGACCTAAAATAAAGAAATGATATTAGTTTTATGAATATAAGCTTACAGTTATGCCCAAATAACCACTCATTGCTGGAACAATACTTGCTGATTGCACTGTAAGATCATGACAATGTACAATAAAATTGCGACAAGTTGGTTTTAGATGAGATGTCCGTAACTGCACACTTTGTCGTAAATGTTCAATAATTTCACGTCGAGCATCAAGATTATGGAATAATACATGTAGTTCCTTGAACGAACAATTTCGAAGTTGGCAAAGATACTCAATTAATGGAACAGGCAAATTTGTCTTCGAACGTAATGATGTAGATATAGTTGGCCTTTTAGGTTGAAAATCTTCATTTTGTTTTGTTGCCGTTGGTGGCGTAGGCTCACGAAAAGGATTTTCTGGTTCAACAGTCCAATCCAAAGGTTTATCGTCTTGAGTAATTCGTAGGATTTTTTCGCTTGTATCTATATTAATTTCATCTTCAATTTGTTCCTCATCCATTTTATCTTCTGCTATGTCATCCATAATTGTAAGTAATCCAAAAGCCGGGGTAATAACATCAACACCTTTCTAAAATTTAAATTTTAAAAATCCAAGTATTTAATTTATCTTACCTTTACTTTCTCTTCAACTTCATCTCCAGAGTCTTCAACCACTACTAATGCTGGCTGGTCCGTTTGGGATTCGCTTGATGTATTTTGTTGTTGTTGTTGTTCTGGTTCAGGGTCGTCTTCGAGAACTCCCCAAACCATAAGAGTGAGAAGAAATTCCATTACATTCATTTTGTTAATTTTGAAATTCTAAAATCTATATATACTTATTTATAAAAATTAAATTCAATTTTAAAATGTCAGGATTTGAAAAATTTGATTTAATACATTCAAGATTCAAACACCCTTTTACAATGATTGTATCGGGAAGTACAGGATCTGGTAAATCAGAATGGGTTAAAAAGTTTCTGGAAAACTTGTCAGAAATGATTCCAGATGAAAATGAAGGAAAACATCAAATTGATTTAGTTCTATATTGTTATGGAGAGTTAAATAAAAATATTATAAGAATGCAAAGAATGGGGTTTGTTGATAAGGGTAAGACAACTGTTATAGTTCATAATGGTCTGCCAGTAGAGGGTGAGGAATTTATACGTACAAGGGCCATTCAATCAAATGGAAAAATGTTGCTTGTACTTGATGACTTAATGGTTGGGATGAATCAAAATCTATTAGATACAATATTTACGAAAGGCTCTCATAACTGGAAAATGAGTGTTATATTAATAACACAGCATTTATTTAGCAAAGAATTGAAAATAGCTCGTAATAATTCACACTATTTGCTGTTAATGCGAAATCCTGCGGGAGCCTTGCAGATAAGAACACTTGCTTCCCATTTGTTTCCTTCACGTTCAAAATATTTCTTAGAGGCGTATTCGGATGCTACAAAAGACAATTTTGGATATCTTTTAGTAGATATACATCCTAGCACACCTGAATTGTTAAGACTTAGAACACATATATATCGTGATGATGAGAGTAAAACTATAGTTTATATTCCAAAATGAGGAAAAAAATTTATACAAGCGATCTAATACAGCAAAATTTAAATTTTTTGCGTTCGATTTTTCATTGTTCAAAATCAAATAAAGTATTAAAAGAATTACTAGATAAGGCTTCAGATGAACAATTGTTATGTTTTGTGGAAATTTGTTTTAATTTATTAAAAGGACGTCTACCCTTTCATAAAAATAGAATTATAACTCTGCAAAAACATGCAAATTTGTTGCGTAAAATAAGTAGATCCAGAAGTGCCCCATCTACAAGAATTTTATTGCAAAAGGGAAATGGAATCCCACCGGTTGCTGCACTTCTCGCCAGCCTTATTATTCCAATAATTACTGACAAAATTTTAAAATAATATAAATAAAAAACTTATTATTGAATTTATATAGTTATGAAGAATGCAAATAGAATGTTTCTAATCCCCGAAGACATTTATAAAAATATAATTGGGGGTTTTGATGAAAATAAAGATTTACATTCAAGCGGAGATGGGACTGCTATATGTTTGATAAAGGAACGTTTACAAAATACTAGTGCCAATAAAGAAATATTAGATCCTACAACAAGGGCAATTCGTTATGAACAGGATTTTAAAAGATATAATAAACTTTTAAAAGAAAAGGAGGAAAAACCTATTGATGTTAAATTGAAAAATTTTGAAGAATTAGCTGATGTCGTTTCAAAAAATATTGAACACAAACCTCCATTAGCAATAAATGCTGATCCCATTAAAAAACCACCCCGTAAAGTTGTAGTAAAAAGGAAACTACATAAAAGATCAGTAGGTAAAGTTGGTATAAGGAGACAATATCCTGTACAAGATATTAAAGTTGAAACTGCTGAAAGTGAGGTGAAAGATAAAAGTGATGAAGAGGAAGATGAATTTTTATCGGCAGATACCGATAATGAGCCTGGTCCAAAAGAACAAGCATTGAAATATATAAGACAACATGCCAATGAATTAGGTGTTTTACCAGATGGAAGGTTAGCGAGAAAAATAGGTAGCAAAGATTCTTTCATTACAAGTAATATAGAAGATCTTGTAAATCATATACTTAAAAATAAGAATAAGCGTAAAAGACCAATTCCAACTGGTTACGACGAATTTATTCGTAGAATAAATAAACATACAGTTTTACAAAATTTGCTTTTTCCGTCGAAAACTACTAATAAACAAGAAGGTGAAGGTGGTTGTTTCAAAAAAGTATTTTCTTATAAACCGTCCTTATGGCAGTAGTGTTAACTAATAATAAGATAAAAATACTTGATAAATTATATAAAAATGTTAATTCCTCAACATGTTTTACCTCTCTCGAACCGCTTTTACACGCATCTAGGAAAGTTGATAAAAATATTTCACGACAAGATGTCAAGGACTATCTTTCAAGTCAAAATGTCAATACTCTTCATAGGAGAGTTGTTAGAAAATATAAAAGAATGCCAACGTTAGCTCCCGGACTTCATACAGAATGGCAAGCAGATTTGAGTGTTTTTAATCGTATATGTAAACAGAATCAAGGATACAAGTATTTATTAGTGTGTATAGATACACTCAGTCGTCAAATATTTGTCGAACCGGTAAAGAGTAAACATAGTGATAATATGATAGATTCATTTAAAAAATTATTTTCTCGTACTAAAGTCATTCCATGGAAATTATTAACTGATCAAGGACTTGAATTTACTGCTAAACAAGTGCAAAAATACTTCAAATCCGTGGATATGGAACATTTCTCTATGCTTACTTCACCTCTGTGGCATGCGGGGATGGCAGAAAGAGCGAACAGGAGCATTAAAGAAAGATTAAATAAGTACTTTACAGAAAATAAAACTTTAAAATGGGTGGATGTTATCCAAAAAATTGTTAACTCAATAAATAACTCATTTAATTCCAGTATAGGTATGCGCCCAACTGATGTTAATTTTAAAAATGCTGAAAAATTAAGGCAATTACTAAAGAATAGAGCAATTGAGACACATGCCTCTTCTTCTCGATGGAGAAGGAAAAAGTTTTCAGTAGGAGATAGAGTGCGAATCGAAAAATATAAGCATATATTTCAAAAGGGCTATTTGCCAAATTTCACAAATGAAATTTTTATTATTGATAAAGTCCGCTTAGTTCCCTATCAACCTCCTACATACAAAATTAAAGACTCTAATGGAGAACAGATTAGGGGGTGGTTTTATTCTAATGATTTAATTTTAGTAAAAGAGAATTCTAAAAAGGATGAGAATTTATATGACATTAATAAAGTTTTGAAAAAAAGGAAACGCGATGGGGAAGATTATGTTTTTGTCAGTTGGAAGGGTTATGGCCCGGAACATAACAGCTGGATACCCGCTAATTCCATAACTTGGAGATAATTATACATAAATTAAAATTTAATTTTTTAATATGTAAAAAAATGACTTCATTTTATATTATTATTCCTTCTAACACAAATATTGAAGGAAATAGAACAAATTCCTTCCGAGTTAGGTTACCTCATAAGTTGCAATTTAATTCTGAGTGGCATGTCGGCCTAGCCGTTATGGTTTATCCACACTCCTGGCCATCGTTAGGTACTAATAATGAACAAACTGTAACTGTTTATTGGAAAAGTGGCGATGTAGTTCAATTTTCTGTTCCTTCCAATACCTTAACTAACCCCCAACATTTAAAAGATAATTTAGATAGATCCTTAAACAAAGGAAGTGAAACACTTGTTGAAAAATTTCGTAGCGTACACATTGAATATACAAATAAATTAAAAGAACTTCGCACGCAGGCTAAGGATAAGTACAAACGTTTAAAAGAACTCTCTCAGAAAAGGACAGAGCCAGTATCCAACGATACTACAGAAGAACACGTAATTATTAGTGAAGAAACTGAAGCTCCTAGCTTAAAAAGTGAAGATGAAATTTTTACTGATTTGGTGAATATTGAAAATTTAAAAATGACTGATGATTTCAAACAAATTATTTCGGTAACTAACGAGGTTGGATTTGACCCTTGGATAAAAGTATTTCGGAAACCTAGATTAGCATGCAATTTTGAATTCCACATTTATAAAAATAGGTTTTCCTTATTCATCGATAGTGAATATATAGAAAAAATTGAATTAACCGAGCAGCTTGCATATATATTAGGATTTGATAGGCTAATTTTAACTGAAACTTGTGTTGCAAACTTTATGCCTGATATGCGAGGAGGCGTGTCCTGCTTCCATGTTTATGCACCTGGATTAATTGAACCAATGGTTATAGGCGATGTGACAGCACCAGTGCTTAGAATTGTAACAATTAGAGGTAAACAAGATGAAATAATTGAAGAACAATTTTTATGTGTACAATACCATAAGTTACTTGTAAAAGAAATTTCTGAAATTTTTATTGAAATTAGAACTTCTAGTGGTACATTAATGCCATTCCAATATGGAACATGTACATTAACATTACATTTTAAAAAGGCTTCATACTTTTGACAATGAATACCTATCAAATAGATAAAATATTAAAAAGAAATATTGTTACAAAGAGATTTTATGTAGGATGTTTTGCTTCAGACTGTATTCCTAATAAGAGTAATTCTTTCCCATTCTGTTTTGTAGTTAATACAGATCCGAGCAATTTAGCTGGAACACACTGGATAGGATTATTTTGCAATTCAGCTAGTAGTATTGAATACTATGACTCTCTAGGTATTTGGCCGCCGATAAGTCATCATATTAGAAATTATTTAAATAAGTTTAACAAAGTCCAATTTAATTCTGTTATGTTACAACGACCATTTTCTAGTACTTGTGGCAATCATGTTATCTTATTTCTTTATATGCGCTGCTTAGGGTTTTCAATGAATAAAATCATTTCATTACTAAAAGGGATTAATGCTGATAAATTCGTATCTGAGTTCATTAATACTCAGATATTTAATATAAATAGATGACTTAAATATTAAATCTTACAATATAAAAAATGCATATTGATTTTGATCCTGCAAATATAAACTGGTCAACATTAACTGAAAACCCCAATCAATGGGGCGGCTATAATGTTTTTCGAGGCGTTCCTTACCAACGAGGTAATGGATTGGGATCAGTGTTTAGAAGTTTTCTTCGTTATTTAATCCCGATTGGTAAAGAAATTGGTAGCGCTATTGGAAGACAGGGTTTAGAATCCGGTAATCGAGTTTTAAGCAATGTCTTAGAGGGAAAAAATCTTAAAGAATCTCTTGTTACTGAAGG